AACAAGGCATTATGCATAATTGTATTTTGTGCCTTTCCGAAGTTTGGGAGGATACTCTTCTCTTGCTGAATAGCTTTTAATCACGTTGGCGCATAGCACATACTGAAATATATGTTGTCCATGGGTTGACCATAACTATCACCAGGAAACGGAGGGAAGTTTGAGTTGTCGCTCAACTTCGACGGCAAAGGATTAGAAATTTAGCATTTATCAAATCCTGTTCTGATCGCTTGTACAATAGTTGAAAAATTTAAACATTTAAAAAGTATGAGTTCATGGTACCTCACGATTCCAATTTATAAGATAAACGATCGTGCCTGTAAAAATGGAATGCATTACTCGTAAACACCAGTTTATAAGAAATATAAAATATCATAAGATTTAATAAAACTTGTACGCTTTTGATTTCAAAGTGAAGTCTCCTTGACAAATGTATTACTGTAAAAGCCTACATAGTTCACAAATTAACTCATGACATTGAAGTGGAAAAGCTTCTATTCGTCCCTACTGAACTTAATATGGAGAGTCTTGTAAAGTAATTCACTCTCTTATAAAGGAGAGAGGGCAAGACATTCATAGTCTTTTGCTTCATGTATCACTGCAGTACAACTCGATGCGCAATAGTATTTATATGGATAAACTGAAAAATAAAGTCTTCCTTACCTTCTGAACAACTTGTTCTTATTCCAGCTACGATAATAAGTTTCTTTCCCCTATAAGTTATGTCTATGAAATCGGGATATTGTAGCAATTAAATCTTCCATCAAAATAAAGGCCACTTGAAACACAATGTGAAATGTTATGACCATGGTGATAATGTTTTTAGTCGTAAGATGAAAAGCTAACTGTTATGAGCACATTGAAACTGAAATTAATGCTGAAATTGAGCTATGGGTACCGACAACTACGAAACCAATTAAGACAATAGCGTCTCAATAAATAGGCTGAATATACCAGTTTAATTCCATGAAAGTTCAAAGAGATACCTGTGCGTCGGTAGGACAAGGGTTAAGACTCTCGCCGATCATGCACATGGTCCGGGGTTCGATTCGCTGCCGACGCACACCTGATATCAATGGTTGGCCTGCAAAATTTGGGCTACCGATATCACATGCTGAAGATTCCATACTTCTACCAGAAGTACTGTGTGGAATCAGGCTGTAATAAAAAAATCAAGACAAATTTTGAATATCCTACCTTATATAATCCGTCACATTGCGCAGATTTCAGTATCAAGCGAAATTTAGTGATACAAGTGCAGGGAATGTAACGCGGTCCGAGTACATTATGCCGCCGATATTATGTACGTCAGGAAAGTCTTTAATGCAAAATTTCGCTTAAAAAGCATATAAAAAGCATAACTTGTTACCAAACCAAAATAGCAACGGATATTAACGCTACAATTAACAGGGATATGCAATAAAGCCACTCTGATTTACCTACAAACCAAATATCGATCCTCAAAGCACGCTGTCTATTTATCACGGAGAAATCTGCTTCTTCAGCCTGGAGACTGTTTGTGGCATTTTGATGATGTCGGATATTTGTTCAAACCAAAGGCATTGAAACTATATCTGATCATTAAAAGCATCATTGTTAGTAATAGAAAATTAAGTGAAAACATTATCAAATATACTTGAACCAATGAGTCAGGTAATAAGTTCCATAAAACTGTCACATCTTTTTCAAAAAGCCAACGCGATAACACATGGTGACCTAGAATCTGACTTTGTCCACCTTTGATTGGACTAGACCAGTGAGGCGCCAAGACGAAATTGACTGCCGTTATTTTCAGTTGGCACGTGTTTTTTGACTCTTGATGAGTGTTACGATTTCCGTTTAGCAATCTGGTGGCAAATTCATATAAAATTCTCAGGAATTTGGGTAAGTGGATTATATTTTGGAATAAGGTACGTTCTATAGGCTCACCCACAGTTATGCAACTGGACTCCCAGTAGGCAAATGTACATAGGTTAAGTAAGTAGAGCGTATGACAGATAGGCAATTTTTGTCGGTTGAAAGGTAGACAAAAGGTTTCTAAAATAAAACAGGCTTCACACCTTCACAATGCTTACCCAATTTTTCTGTTTAAAAGGAGAATGTTTGTTTTGATTTCTCGATCTTGAATAACTTTGATGTCCTCATTCGCACCGCCGACTTTAGTCGAAACGATGCCGCCTGCGTATTTAGGTAGAGATGAATTCCTTCAGATATACCCTATTAACAATGGTGATTAATGCTTGTCGTTGTAGGTTGTCGTGCATCTTAATAATCTGTATTATCTCTATGTTCACTTGAAGTCGTGTCTTTTCGGCTTCTTCTGACGATTTATTGACTTACTCATGTAGACCTTCGAGTTTGTGTGACAGTAATTATTAACGAAGTCAATAACTTGTAGAGTCTCCTTCCTGGTGTGTCGTATGCCCGTTCCCCCCTCCCCTTGAACTGTTGTACAATCGGCCACAATCAAGAAGACCATTGGTCATAATACGACAACCTTGTCTTATTCATTCCTTGCTTCATTCCAAAGTTTTTCCTGAGATTTCCGTTGCGAATCACTTTTCATGTGGCATCATCGTATAGCTGTTGGGTGAGGTCGTCTATTTGGGTTTGGGGTACTCCGTTGTCTTATGGCAGTTTCCAAATTACTTTACACTATGTCCAATCACCAAATCACTGAAGGCTCAGAAATTCTCAAAGAATTCTCCGTTCTCATTCATTTCGGCGAGTGCCTGTCGACCCATAATACATCCCTATCCTGTATCATGTCATCTCAGTTCCGTTAACACTTCTACCACCCATTAGGATTTTGATGTCACTATCTGTTTGCAATAATGTGTAGGAATGTTCTTCTCTACTTGGTCTGCGTTGTTTATAAGAACGTAAGATGGGGTAATTGTAAGTTTCCTACATTTTGACTTGAATCTTGGTGTTGTTATCCTAGAGGAGATTGATTCCCACTACATGAGGGCTTTCGATACTGTTTACGACGTCATGATATCCACTCGCTCAGTGCAATTATGATCATCGTCCGATTGATTATTGACTCTAGTCACTAACTTGAAGAGTCCACTTACATTCTATCTACTTCGATAGATTTCCAGCACTTCTAAACCACACCTCATTTGCTTTGCAAAATGAGCTGCCTTTCAATCAACCATCGTGCGGACATTCTTTGTGCTCATGATTGCTTTTGTTTTCATCGATAGGAGACATATCAGCTGATAGTCTTCCTCAAAGTTTTCACAATCCCGTGTCACTTCGTCTTTCCGATTCTAGTGGGAAATAGGTTTATTTATTGATTTATAGTTTCTGTAGCATTTGGATTGACTTTTCGCTAACTTCACACCCAACGTGTCCTCTTTTTGGGGTTAGTTTAATTATTATTTTTTGCGTAGTGCAACTCTTGGTATCTATATAATACCTAGTTTGTGCTTAAATGAATAAATAAATAAATAATTCATTTTATTTTTCCCGGATTACATTTAGTAATAACATCTACACCTATGGAACGCAGCTTTTTAAATGCTCTGCAGTTTTTAAAAGATGAGGAGGTATGTTACCTTTATCATAATTCAAGTGCATGAATTTAGAAAGAAGATGAATCGAACCGCGAAGATAGACAGTCAGATTTTCTGTTAGCTGCATGTGTTGATGGCTTTGATGAAAATGTGACGGGGATAACATCTCTGGATTATTTCGTATATATATGGAATCTTTTCAATATGATGCCAATTGATAGCGATGATCCAATTCCTATTGAATCTGTTGACGTAGAAAAGAAGCACTTATTTCAATGTCTTAGTCGATTGAAATGTTTTCATGTTTGGTTTACAGTAAGTTGATTAGTTATACGAAAAGAAAAATAATTAAAAAGAAACTCGATTGACTATTGTTTAGCTTCGAAATTAGTAAAGATTCTTTTGCTCATTCCTTTGCATTCGGAGTCAAATACAAGTCTTGAGGCTTTTGGCTTTGAAAAGTCAGTAGCGACAGTGTTTTTAACTTTTGGGGGATGGGGTCTCTAACCTAACGACCAGCAATCAGGACCTACTAACGGAGTGTGTCGGAGGCCGGGAATCGAAGTCGAACCACGTGTATGTTTAGCAAATATGCTACCATAGGACCACCGATACAAATGAGAAATATGGAAAGTTTTACAAATTTGCTTTTCATCCCTGTGCAGAAGCCATGCTTATCTCCCGTTTATCGTCCTAACTTAAGTCTATATTACTGCCTCAGCGAATAAAAATGTGTAGGTATATGTGGTTTAGGTGAGCATGGAGTGTACGGTCAGTGAGTTTCTGTAATTATTTAAAAGAGTCGAATGTTACTCGCCATATATTTCATTTATTTTTGAAAGCTGCATTGTAGCGATTTCGTCAGAACCGAATACATCAGGTGGAGAATCACTGAGAACTACAGAGTACTGGTGTGGGAATCTCCAAGAGATTATGAGACTGTCCCGCTGGACTATACGGTCGCTCGAGTTAAATTCTAACTTTTGCAATGATATCAGTAAGTATCAGTCTTTACAGCCAACTTGTTGGAGCCTACCAGCAGTAGGGAATCAATTCACAGCTTGCTAGTGGTTAACTGTGGGATGGGATTGCATAATTTTTCGCAGAAAGTCGTAAGCAGTGTGAGGGTCTACCGAAAATTAACTATGAGAACAGATAGTCATCGTTAGCATTATATATTATATGGCGGTGACGCCATATATCACGAATCGACAGAAGTTAGAATTCATGAGCGGTTGAATCGTCACTGGACTTGTATCATAGCCTGAAGGTTCTCAGTGACTCAGTCTCCAGTGGTAGGTCTCTAGTGGTACGTAGTTTTCACTGATTCTCTAACTGATCTAAAGTTTAAAGGATTATTGTTTGGAATAAAGGTATAACAGCAATAATAATAATAATTTTATACATATGTTTATGTAACTAACGCGATTTTTCCTTCCTCCAACGCGCCTCATTTTTATTTTCTGCCTTCTCTTGTAGAAAAATCCTCCTAATATTCACGGAAGTGATGTCAAGTCATTGATATTCTTCTTTGAAGAATTCCTTAAACATACATTTCTTACTAAAACAAGTCTAGAACCACATTATATGGAGTCGGTATCATGTTTAATATTACTATCATGGTGGAATATTGGATTTCGTTCTTGTTCAACACTTTATCGTATCATTGATTATGAATTATTCGGTTTATGGTTCAGATTAATCCCTCAAATTGTTGATGTATCATTTTGGATTATTAATCACTTGTCTCCCTATCCAGAACATTCACATCTATTCATAATTAATTTGTTACGTATTTATGCGGATTGTTATCATCAAATAAAAAGTCGATTTGAGAATGATGACTCCGACACCTCTTCTTCTTATTCTTCTCATTCTTTGTCGTCTTCGTGTACTTCTTCTTCTCCTTCTGCTGCTGCTGCAACTGTCGGTTCTCGAATGACTGGTATTGATATACCTCGAGTTCTTCGTGGTTTAACTGATATTTATCGTGAATCAGTTGAAGAATTAATAGAAAGGAATAAAGCAGAGAGGGGTGAAGATCGTACATATTTAGATGATCTAGATGATGGTGATGATGATTGTTCCAGCACTGCTATTAATAGTATGAAAACTGTTTGTTCAGCAATTGTTGAGATATTAAAAAATTTAGTACGGTAAGTGATATTTTTTAAATGGCTCTCATTTCCTTTGTTGGTTTCTAACAAAGGCATATTCTATTTTATGATGGATATTGAGGTGTTTATATGGTTATAAGATGAAGTAGCCTGGGATTGCAGAGAGGAGTAGTGACCATCGAGGTCCATCACAAACACTTACGGACAACATCATTGGCGTTTTATGTATGACGAGTTGGCCGACCATTGGATTCCGTCTCTGTGAGTGAATGATTGGTTGTCTTGTCTTGTAACTTGAAAGTCTCGTATCATGGGTGCGTACTGCTGAGCCGCCTCAAACTAGGAGGACAAGGCAGCTGTCCTGCACTCCATGGTTTTCGGTGGTTCTCTGACTAACGTCATTTTGTGATCGAAATTGAAGTTGGCAGGAACCCCTGGATCTAGGTTTTGTGCTTGTTAGCATTCGTCAGTCAACAAAGCTAATCTGGTGAACTGGTGTGTTAACTCAGGGACTCGGAGCTGTAGTAGCTAGTGCTGCAGTTAGGGATGTTTTCAGTCGGCTGATGAGTGTCAGTAAGCACGAAGCGTAGAACTTCCTGCTGATTACCCCCAACCATTTAATTAGCAGTAATGTGGAAGTGTACCTCGATAGTGAATCTTCTGTTTCGGTGTGACTTTATTGTGCTCAACAAATATGCCAAAGGGAACAGAGATGGAGACCGTTGAATGACATTGTGCTCCAGATCCCGGAGTGGAACCCGAATGGAAAATGCGGCTTGGGCATCCGATGGTGACATGGAGATCGTGTGAGGATGAGGTGAGAGCTTATGGACAATCGTGGAACCGGTTAAAAGAACCACAGAGAAGAGGTAAATGTGGAGGTGTGCTGTTAAAGCCCCATGTTCCACCCTCAACCCAAGGAAATAATGAAAACATGACTAGGATAGTATTCAGTGAGTCACTACTAAGAAGAGCTAAACACTCGGCACTGATCACGCCTCAGTGATCCACTCAGTGACATAGGTTTTGATTAATTCAGAAACTTCTACCCTCACTGATCAGAGTGATACTCCTTCCAATATCTGATAAAATTGTAAAAATAATATTGGTGGTAATGATGTCTAGCTGTCTTTGAATGTAGACGTTCGCGTTCTGTTTAGTGTAGTGGTAGTGGTGTGTAATATTGAGGTTATGTGTAGAGGGTTAGGTGATTAGGGATATTCGGTGAGAAAGGTTATGAAGCCGCATTGACTATGATGACTGTGATAGGTGTTATGCATACTGAGTTATCGCCTTCTTCTATGAACAAGATAAAACTGGATTGTAAAAGAGTTAACGGTGGTTAAATCAGAACATTCTAATATTCCATGAAGTTGCGTACACCAAGATAAGATATAAACTAATGAAGTCTTTGACTATTCGTTTGAGTCGGTCACATAGGGAGAGGTGTAGGCGAAGGCTTCTTGGTTGACTTGAAAGTGTTGGTGATATGGCTCGGAATCGTTGCTAGTGGCGCAGATTCATTCACCCGTGGTAATCTTCCAGACCTATTAAAGCCTCATCGTTCTTCATGTACTTATTCTCTCTCGCGTACATTTTCGTTCATTATGTGTCTTCGGAATTGTTTTGTCAACCACTGTGTGCTATATGATATGCAGTGAATTGTTCTGCTGTACTTCTGTGCAAGTTCTATGTTAAAAACTGAGTCACTCAGTATCTGGGGTGGAATATAGAATAATCACATTTGCACATACATTTTGGAGACAAAATAGAATTTGATCGATGTCATTGTAGTAGTTGTACCTTAGGAGTGAGTGATTTAGTGCTGGACTTTCAACCAGTGAACTGTAGATAAGAGATGTGCTTTGCCCTATTTAACGTAAAAAAACAGTCCTGGATGGCTTAGAACAGTTTGTGGACAAAGTTTGTCTCAGAGTGAGAGTGGATAAATTTAACGAAGTTCATCCTGCAATAAATTTTTACTATTGAGAAAGAAAAAGATTCTAGTATTTCATTTTTAGACATCCTTATGACCAGAAAACAAGATGGCACAATAAAAAGAAGTGTATATAGAAAACCTAAAGCAACGGGGCAGTATACACATTATCTCAGCTTTGTGCCCTTGAAATACAAACGCAATCTGATAGTGCTTAGCTCATGGAGCAAGAGCAATTTGCTCGGACGAATGTCTTGATGAAGAACTTAATAATATTAAACAGTTGCTAAGTGAAAATGGTTATCCTGAAAAGTTTATTGATAAGAATATGAATCTAAAACCAAAGCAGCCCAAGTTACCAACAGTTCCAAAAAAGGCCTTATTCATACAAATGCAGTTCCTTGGGGACAACACCAGTGAGATACTAACACAGCGCCTTAGAAATGCGGTAAAAAGAGCATTCCCTGCTGCCGAATTACGCTGTATCTTTAAAACCACTCCTCTTTTGCTTTCGGGAGTAAAAGACAAACTGCCTAATTTCGCCTCTTCCATGTGTATCTACCAATTTAACTGCTCCTGTGGAGCCAGTTACATAGGCCGTACAATTAGGCGTGTTTCTCATCGAATTTCCGAACATCACCCTGCGTGGTTAAGCAAAGGACAAACAAAATCTATTCGTAGCGCTATTCTGTCTCATCTTGTGGATACAGAACACAAGATTGATGTTAACCATGCTTTCAGGGTAATTTACCGCATACCTACGAACCTCAATTTTGCCTTAAGAGTTCGACTACTAAACATTGCTGAGGCTGTTGGGATCCATATTAATAAGCCTAATTTGTGCATCCAAAAGAAGCTAGTTCAGACATTATCCTTACCTTGGCCATCTAGGTTTGAATGATCCTCAATTTTTATGGAATTTTCCTAATTTTAGTTGATATTCTATTTGCTACTATATCTTTATTATTATTATAATTTAAGCATCTTTAATGAACTGTAATTGCATTGACCATACTTTACAAATCGATATTATTTAAAAAACACTAATATTGTTATTGACTACTATTCTATAATATTCTATGTATATAAACACATGTATATATAATTGTAGAGCCAGAAGAGGAATTTATCGAAAAGAATATTCTTTGCTCGATTATTTTGTGTTTTATAGATGTCAGAGTGAGTTGGTTGGCTTTAATGCCATCCTACTTCCAGCCTCTCAGATGTTTCTTTCCTATATGGTAGTAGCGTGGAAGTGCTTCGAGAGTTGCCTGTTATTGATATTCTATTCATTATTTACATAACTACTTCCTTTATTTTTCTTCTGGATCTCAATACATTATTGATTGAATTCCGGTGGGGTAGTTAGTTTTATTCATTAGTAATATTTTCCTTATTTGTTCGATTACATTACTTACATTTACTGATACACTGATTGAACTCCTGACTGAATTGGATTGACCAGAATTCAGCAAAACCCTACCTATACGGAATTTAGGTAGGATTAAGTAACAGTCTAAGTACTTATTAGAATGTGATGATTAATTTTTAGAAATGTTAATATCTCTAAACTTATATCTGGTTTTTTGTTTAGTTTTACAACTTCATATACTTAGTTCACCTTGTTCACCAATTGGCTCGAAGGTGAACTGGATCCCATCTACTATTGAGTTTATGTGTGACGCAACACCTAAGCGGAAAATTGCAACAAAATGGGCGGTATTCTATAAGGTTATATGAGGCAAGTTAGCTGACAAGTCGTGTTTGAAGTAGATTGATATGACTTTAAGCAACGTTAAATTGTACCCGAAATATCACTCAGTTTTTAATACGGTATCATCATTCTGTATGTATGTGTGTGTGGCCAAATTCTACTCTTAAATCCTTTTGTTTTTTCTTGTTTTCTGGTTTTATAGTTCTGGAAGAGCTTATTGTTTGGAACAAACACCTGATTTTTCGTTTATTTCATTCACTGACCAACGGATAAGTGAACGTTTGTATCTTGTTCGTGATTATCTACTGGTTCGATCTCATAGAGTTATAGCCAGTCAGATGGAAGCAACTCCTGGAAGTGTTTTACCTCGTCTACCAAAAATGTTAAACTGTTTAGTAAATCTTACATCAGCAAAACATAAACTTCGTGAATTATTGGGTTGTAATAATAATAATAATAATAATAATAATAATAATAATAATAATAGCAGCGGGAGGAGGAGAAGTGGTCGTTCGAGATCAAATCGTAAACCTTGGAGTTTATCATCATCACCATCACTATTAACCAATCATTACAGATACATTACATGGTGTCTTAGAAATAATCTCTGTGTTAAAAGTAAGAAATTGTAATAGGTTCTATAAGATTTTATTTATTTTTGCTTTAATTCCTTGTGGAATGTACGACTTGAAGCTTTTTTTTGAAGTTTCGGGGACGGTTGTGTTTTTTGGTTCATGATAGATGCTAAATTTGAGTTGTATGTTCTCATGCGAACATGGTTGTTTTTGTATCACCGTGCTCAACTCGTCATTTCCTGTCTGGGTTCGACGTGACTACCTTCCTGGTCGTATATGATGCCACTTGAGTGTGTATCTCCTCAGTTTATGTATTGTTCATCTTTCTCCACTTTCTTTTACGTATTTTTTGGTTTGCAGGTAGGTTGATTATTGGTTAGATGATTGGCTACCATCGAAGGGGACAAGGTGTTGATGAGAGTCTACAGTAGCCTGCTGTTTGAAGTGCTTTGATGATTCTCCAAGTACCGTGAGAACGTAGTTATCCAAAATACTGTTAAAATTTGTACGTAACAAAATGAAATATGTATAATTTCCATTTGCTACTTTTCTGAGAACAGAAGTTTGAGACTTGGCGAAATTGTATCCGTTTGTCAGCCACAGTCCCTTACCCTGTAGTTTTCCTACACCCTGGTTGAATATTCACAGACTGGTATGGAAGTTTCCCACTGACGTAAATCAATTCAGTTTGATAAATTCCGTGTAAAATAAAGTAACATTGTTGATGTGCACTAGTACAGTAGTATAGAGCTAGTTTGTCGTAATGTGTATTCACTTATCAATTGATGTTCGTAGGCTGCTGTGTTTCACTCAACTTCTCACTTCATCTTTAATCATTGCAGTGTGCCAGCTGAGGGAGGGGTTCATGCGACATGCGAAATGATTCACAATGGAAAGTTCTGTGGGATGAAGACGATGATATTGGTGATTGTAGTGGAGGACTTGGTAGTGTGGCAGACAGTAGGGAGTGAGATGGGAATACGTAAGGTTCATGGACTGATGCCAGCCAGGTTTTGCTTTGAATACCTCTAAGTGTTTTTCAACATGATTATATTGTCGACTAATATTGCTCGTTGAGGATGGCGGAGAGTTGACATGCACGACACCTGTCTTAGCCCCATCTCAATCGATGCAGCGGCACAGCCTCATCGATTGCCTTTCCTCTCTTAAGCTAGTTCTCTAAGCCTAAACTCGATGTTACTCAACATATTATACCACGCAGAGATTTTGTTCACACACAGGACTCTAAGTCGTCATACTTATTATATGAGTATTGATCATACGACTGATATGTCCAACCAAGCTGAAATAGGTGGGAAGGCGTTGCAACCCGTTATCCGTTTAGCTTGAAAGATAATTGCTTATGCCAGTAATCAACACCACAGTAAACTGATATTTGTTGTCTTAGTGTAACGGTGGGGGACAAGAGACTTGGTTGGTAAATGGATGTTTATTTGGAATTTGGTCTCTCTATATAGCGAAATTATGTACACTTTCTCTTCAAATCACCATTTGCGCAGATCTTCTGTGTCGTGCTACTTTTGTCTTTCGTATTGTGTATCTTCGTGTTCCTTTCATGTCTCCCGTATTTTTCCGCAACTCTGAGTCATGTGCTTTCTCTGACATGAAATGTATCCCCCCGCTATTTGATGTTCTTTATACCACTGAACACCTCGTTATATATGTACTACTGATAAATCTAATCAGTAGCACGCGCCACATTAGTATATGTACTCTATTTATCTATGTATTTGTTATTTTTGTCTGCAATCTTTCCATTATTTTAGGGTATGCTTTCTGGTACGTTGCAACTGTGGATATCACGGAGACTGAAGCACCTCAACTGTAAGTTGTTTATAAAAGGATAGTGATAATGATAATAGTAATAATAATAATAATGATAGTGGAATAATTAAAATGAAATTCTAGACAAAACATTACCAGAATGAAGCTTTACTAGGTGTTGGTTTGCAGGGATTTGATTGGTTCCAGGTTAGATCGTGGATTGACATGAGTTAGGGAAGCATTGAAAACCAGGAAGGAGTGTTGAACGGTTATTTCGTACTCCCAGTGGACGACTTTTCAGCAGTACTCATCCACGACCTCACAGAATATCAAACTGAGGACATTCAAGTTATGAGACGAGCCGGTTGACTGTTCAGACACGGGGACACGACCCAGTGGACAATGAATCCCAACGTTTGCTAGCACGTGATATCTAACGCTATCACTAGCCAATAATGTCATCGGTGAGTGTTTGTCCTCATGCCTAACATATTGAACCCAACTGATTACGACCTTTCACTCACTAGAGCTTCAGCCAACTTCATCCTGTCTACAGTCACTAGTGAGGATCGGATTAATTTTCGGGTGTTGGTTTTGTGGGGATTTGATTAGTTCCAGGTTAGTTCGCAGATTGATGGATGACATCAGTTGGAAAACTATTGAATACATAAAGGAAGTCACTGAGTTCGATTATTTGCTGTGGAATCTTGGTTGAGTACTAATGAGGAATCTCAAAGAAGAAAGAACAAACATGCATCCGGTACCTTCTGATGGTTTCCAGTAGTTCTCTAACTAATAGTATCAGTTTGTGATCTGGTCTGAAATAATAAAAGTAATCTTTGATGATAACAATGGGTGGTGCTGGATGGAGAATAGGTTTCAAACTCTATCTGTTGCGTTATAGTTATGATCCTAATTATAGCGAACAGACTAACGAACATGGTTTCGTATTATTAATATTATGAACGTCAATACTACTATTATAGTTATTATTATGTTTTGGTGGCTACCTTTGGTTGGTTACTTCATGAATTAATTGATTTGAATTAGCCTTTTCAAGAACCGATATCAATTTGGAAATCATTCAGAACAAGGAATGAAACAGTTTGAATAGTCAATTCGTCTTCGCTTCTTACTCTTCAACATTGTACGCCCATGATCCGGCTACGGGGATAGTGGCTGAGAGAAGTTTAATGTCCAAGCCAGGTGAGCCGCCAGTTGACCATTCAACCAGGAGTAGTGGCAAGTGGTATGATCGTTGGGCGCATAGCTGAAGAGAGTGGTTGCTGGTTTTCACTAACTCTCTCATTGATATGTTAATTCGTCATTGAACTTGTCATATGATCGTCATGCTACTACACGTGTATGATGGTTTTCCTTTGTTATCTTGTTTTTTTTTTTAATTTCTAGCTTGATACCACTTCTATTGCCACATGCTGAATTATTAGCTGAAGATCATAGTTTCGCCTGCCTACTGATTCTACGTCTTGATCGCGTGCGTAGAGCTTTGCTACCGGAGAAGGAATATTTCACGGTATACTGTCTTCAACTGTTTCTTTTGTTATTGATATTGTTTGGCTATTTTGTGTGATGATGATGAATGGCAAGTTTTTACAACTGTGACTAGTAAGTGTCACCTGCTGCTACTTCACGAAATGGTCTACAAAACTGTAATGTTATTTGTTCCTGGTTGTAGTGATGGTGGTGATGATGGGAGGGGAAAATCCCTTTCACAAGTGTAATCCGTTCTCAGCATCGTTCCAGCTACAGGTGTGTCGACACGGATGATGACTTCGAAGTTAGTATGTGAGATTGAGACGGCATGATATAGGGGTTGTGATTACTCTGAAGTGAGTATGGAGATCTGGTCCACAAGATCTCAAATTGTCACCTCTAGTATCAACTCAGTGCTTGTACATGATTCGGTGACACGGCGAAAGTGTCATTGAAGGTATTTCCAATCGGGTGAGGTGCTGCAGACTTTCGTGATCATCTGTTTTCTCACGATACTGGAAACTAGATGACTCGAAGTAGAACTTAAGTAAAATGGAAGTCTGGCAGGTAGAGAACCAGTCAGCAACATATTGCCCATTCAACGAATATACAAAGAGCGATGGAGACGGATTGAAAGTACGCTGAGAATACCGTTGAGGGATATCACACACTATCACACTAGGCAGGTCGTCAAGTGGAAATCGAATGGGGAGGGGGGAAATGGTGCGTTGAGTCGAGGATTGTCTGAGGATTATATTGACGAGATCGAGTGTGAAGCGGAGAAAATGGAAGCTTGTAGGCAATTGTGGAGCTAGTCGGTAGGTAGTATTGTCATGTTTACCTCCATATGACAGCTCTTATATATATATAAGATTTTACACCATTTGCATGAATTCTAGTTGGATTGTGGGGATTAGTGAAATATTGTTTCTCGGCATTATCTTCATTGGCATACCTAAGAGCAACATCACTTGATCGCAGGAGTCGAATGACGCCTTCAGATCAAGAAATACGGAATTTATTTTTTTCATGCTAGTATGAGTATATTTGAGTACTTGTCGAAGGGTTAAGATATAATCAATACACCCTCGTCCGCATCTGAAGTCCCCCTAGTTTTCAAAAGTGTGTCTTAGTGTATGTATGTACAAGCTTCTTTGTTAGCCGTAAAGTGATGATTTAAGCATGTGCTGACACGATAACCTTATTATGCAGTTCCAATTCTTTTATTTATGGCCTAAATTTCTGACAGTTTGTATATACAATATACCACACATTTTCTCCAATAAAAGTTTGTTATTATTATTATTATCATTGTAAGGATCGTTGTTTTCCCCAGTCTGACTTTTGCGTCTATCTGAGTACGGCCAGATATTTTCGAGTAATCAGTTGGTTATAGTGTCATGTTCTGGAGGCTCATTCTAGTTAGATTGTGAGGACACAACCGACGATGAAGCCGTGCCACTCAAAATACAAGAAATAAGTAGTAGTAGTAGTAATAATAATAATAACAGTATGTCGTTTTTACTCCCAGTGTTTACATTTGTTCACTTTATTTTGCTGTTTTGTGAATGCTTTTTTCAGCTTCTTCATCGTCTATTCAAATATTTATCATTCGAGAGTAAATATGAACTGCTGAGGTGTATTCAAGAGAAGAAAAATTCTGTTTATGAAACCCCGCTGTCAAAATCAAATGCTTGCTTTCAGTCATCTATTCGTCCAGTGTTCAATCGTTTAGCCTCCTTGGATAGTAGTAATGCTGATGACACTGTTGGTCAAACTGATAAACAATCGATATTGACTACTGATTTTACCAAGGATGTAAGCTGTTTTTATTTTACACTGGAAAGTCTTTCCCCATTTGTCATTGACAGACGATTTTCATTCATTTGATGATAGAGCCATCTAGGCGTCATTGTATTTGGCGTTAGGTGTGTAGTGTTAAGAATCGGAAGAGTTAGAATGAATGAGTCACTGAGGTTCGGTGGAATTTGCTGACGTTGTAATCTAGAGCTTATTGGATACGATGTCCGGTGAAGAGTCCTAAATAAGGAGGACGAAATCGTTGTCCAGTGTTCTGCTCTTTTTTCCAATGATTCTCTAACTGATGTTGGGTTGTGACAGAGTCCACAGTGAAGCTCGTTAATCAGAATCCCTATGAAATCCGTAATCTAAGTAGCATTGTGTAGTCAGTCGTTGGGAGATGCCGAATGGCTGAAGGAAATCGCCAGTGAAACGTGGTTATTGATGCACTCATCATCAAGGTGTATTGATTAACACCAGCATCATGGAATTTGTGCCCAGCTCACCTTGAGCATATTTGCGAACCAGACTGATAGAATTCATTGTGCCTCACTTAGAATACACTAAGCTGTAGAACATGTGTTTTTGAATAACCCCCAGTCGATCAGTCAATATATGACCACTACACTCTTGTAGAGGAGGTCTATCATGAAGTTTGAACAATAGTAGCTCTGTAGTATCACCTCTTTGTCTACAACGCTGGGTGACTCATGTTGGAATATCAGAGGGATGAACTGTCAGTCCTTTCCTGGTTCCAAATATACCTAGTCGGTGTGCACCAATAAGCAGGTAATCTGGAAACTTGTCTGTAACCATTTTATAATAATTCGGATAGACGAATTGTTTCGCATAAAAGTAGATAAGTGACATGTTATAACTGATGATAATAGGATATGTAATGTAGGTGTTACTCAACGCTGACCAATCTGTTTGTTTCTCATATGGCAGGGTTGGTAGAATGCCCGTCAATCATACATATATGGTTTCAGATTCAATCCCCAACCACCTGACTTGTTTTCTAGCTCTTCAGCATAGAGAAACGCTCTTTAATACCAGGGACCTAGAAAATGCAAAATTTGGAATCAGATAATTAGCTAGTCTTTATCTTTATCCATCTGTCCTCATCTCATCTGCCTGTTTTCTTCTCTTTCATCCTATCCAGTTTCTTTCAGATTGTGAAGTAGTACTGTTCACACATCCCGTACGTTTTTTTACTGAGTTAATTCAATTTCCAGTTAGACAACAGCTTCCTCATCTACAGGCTGCTGTTCAACAGGTGAGTCAATGTTTCTCCCCTTCTTTTGTGATTATAAAGTGATTTTATTTATTGATTTATTGATTTATCTACTGCTTAACAATCAATGTTAGATCACGAAGTGATTTCATTTGGTAAGTCCTTTGAAAACACCAGCAGGGTGTAAAGGACACCTGCTCTGTCCCTAGTTTTTAGGACTCCTTGCCAGCACGCTCCTTTTTCCACCTAGGGGAAGCTAGCAAACTGTGAACAGTATAGTATAAGAGCCGTTGGAATGGCATTCGTAATACAATATCCAAGTCAGAAAAATCTGTGTTTCAAGATTGTATTGTAACGACAGAAGGCAAGAGTCAGGCAACAGATCATTTATTAAGGAAATCAACACATATTTATATATTTTCATGTACATTACTATGGTTATTTAAGCAAACAAACACAGTCTTCCGATTGGTTGTTTCTCGCTGAAAGTTAATCTTTCATCTATTCGTGACTGTTTCTTGAATGTCAAATCCTCTATATGTTAACTGCATCCGCCTACGCAAAGTCAATCTTTGTTCACATTTTCTCACGACAAATCTTGGGAACGTAAATATTGACGTAAATTACTGTCTACCAATTTGGCTAGTAGACAGCTCTCACCACAGTATCACTTTTTGTAAGGGGTTAGTTAATGGAAGAAGACAGTGGAATTGTTGAATTTGTCAAAATGGAATACCAAATGGCATTGAAATCTTAGTTTGTAAAAAGTGTTCGCATTCTGTCGCATTTTGTCTATATTTTATTTTCAAGTTGCATTTCTGCTTAACATTTCCGTTCATTTCTCTCTTCACCTTTCTGCAACTTGATCTATCATTCTGCTATTCAAGATTCCTACAGAGACACCACCCAATAGCACTTGTTTTCTTCATTGCCTTCTAAAGGGGACATGCGGGGGGGGATCAAGCCTTTTGAAGTTTTCCAGTAGTGGTGGTGTATTCACAGGAGTGAATACGGCTCTATGCCTTACCTTACTTTCCTTTCCTTTTCTCCAGGCTTACTACGTGCCGACGTTTTAACAAACCAGGCAGAGTTTAGCAGTGCGTCAGCTGCCAGTAATTTAACCCGGACCTCATACACTGGCGGCGCTTACCACTGAACCATTAATGCGATACTACTGTAACAACAAAAGACAAGGGCCAGGCAACAGATCGTTTATTAAGGAAAATCAACACATATTTATAGATTTTAATGTACATTATTGGTTGTTTCTCACAGCAAGTTAACCTTGCATCTCTTTGTGGCTGTGTCAGATCATCCGTATGCTAACTGTATCCGCCTACGCAAAGCCTTTGTTCTCATTTTCTCACCAGCAATATTGGGGACATAAACATTGACTTCAATTACTGTCTACCAACTTTGGCTAGCAGCCAGCTCTCACCACACTACTACTTCACTCTAATGGAAACTTCTCTCTCCCTTTTTCTCCCTTCTAGCTGATCGATGAATTGTCTTACGTGTTCCCAGTACCTACAGATTTTTTCCCAAAGGAAAGAAAAGTATTGGATAAATCAGGTAGTAAAAGAAAGAGCAAAGCAACACTTGGAAAAGATCACCACAACCACCAACAACTGAAACAATCCATTCACAGTACAATCTTTCAAGAACTTATTCTTGTTGATTGGTCAAATCGTCCATGCTACACTAATATTTCATTATTCGGTGAAGAAGACATATATGCTGAAGCAGATAAGATTAATTTATTGAATGTGAAATTCAATTTTAACGATGACAAATGTCTGCTGGACGACCAGTCTGATGAGTCGATTAATAATAAACTGTCGGGGGATCTAATCTTGGATACTCTAGTTCATCTGTTTAAGAAAGTGAGTTTTTAAAATCTAGTCGCTGAGAAACTGCTTGATTTCGGTGTTAATTTGTATTTGTTCATTCTCTGATTTGTTCTTGGCTGCTTCTAGTACAGATGCTTTGACGATGTATGAAGATGGGAACGATGTTGTTTGGCTGACGGTAGCTAACAGCAAGATGCAGGTTGCGTATTTCGATCTATTAGACTGAGTGGGATGAATGCACGCTCAACCCGAATGAAGGATGTGGTCCCTGTCGAGATTCGAACCCAGTATCCATGGTTCTATAAGTCAAAAAGTTATGCATAAGAGGTAGCTCCCGTGGTCTGGAGGCCTAGTTGCGTTTCACAGAATGGACCCTAGATTCTAGTCTTAGTGAAAACACCACCCACCAAGAATGCAGTTGCATCCAGCTGACGAGTACCGAATGGGATGACGTTCGCCTGCTGGATTCCGCTGCTAGCAATCACTACTAATCAGTGGCCTTGGATTAGTGTCGATCACTGGTTATTCCAGTTTATGACGGACTGGCTTCTGTTCAACGTGGAAGTTAACACCATTTCAACTTACTACATATCAAGAGGCACACATGACAGTAGAGGAGATTAGGTGCTGAGAAATTATGAGAATCAAGAATGTACGGCAGATAGAATATGTACATAGAGAAGAATGAAAATCTGATGGATCTAGGAGAGCATAATGGGTGAATACATGCGAGCCAATGAGAATGGTTTTGAGTCATATCAACAAGAATTTCGAGTCATTGATTCTCATCGTCCTGAGGACCCCAACGAGCTAGCCGTACAGTATATACACTTCCCTGCTTGACTGACTGAAACTAAGGGTCAGACACTTCATGGACTTACTACACTGTTTCCTTTGATCCCGTCTGAAACTTTGTCAACCTGATCCTATGTCAGCTAACATCGCTCGATGAAAGCAGTGACATGACACACACCCTAACCATTTCAGTTGATGCAGTTTCACAACCATATCGATTGACTTCCCCTTTTTACCTAGCAGTTTACGCCTAATTTCAATATTACTCAATATTGTATACCACTTAACACGACGGGTAGAATTAAAAAGCTTACCGTCAAATATAGAAAGTCTTTGGGTCTTCCTCTTTCAATCGTTGTGTCTCACAGTCTTCTCTCTTCATTACACTCTGAACATTTCGAATCTGATATTGTAGCTAACAGATGCTAATCTCAGTGGTAATCACGAAGAACATGGATGTCATCTTCTGCAACAAAAAAGGCATTGGGACGTAAAAATAAGATCGTACAGATGTGTCGTTGATGGCATGAGATTTTTAGCCGTATCGAAGAGCGAGGCTGAGTGTTTTGGCTTTTTAGATGACTTTGACGAACTGTTAAATTCACTGACAGGTATAATTAAAGAATCAGGAACAAATGAGTAAGTGCCAGCTCTCCACAAAGAGATGCTGGGAAATCAAAAAAGATTCAGTAGTGAAAGGTTGCGGTGAATATATCTAACAAAACATTTTTCTGTCTGTCAATTTCCTCAGTGAGACGCACTGGTGACGCACTGAAGAAAGGCCTCATATGTTCACGCGACTCCTCGATTCAACTCCGCACCGATTCCAGTGGGAATACAATAGGGGCTGTGATGCTACAAGCATCCTCTAACATTCACGTGTATGCTAGCAAGAAACTAGACAAATGCCAAGCCTGCTACTCCACCGGCAGAAGGGAAATGCTCTTCCTGGTTGGAACTCTGCACTGCTTACGTCTCTGTCTTATTTAACTCATTGTAGTATGCAAAGGTCATCGTACCCTTCAGTTGCTTCAATAAATGTTTCTTTAACGTGTGGAGAACAGGTAGCAGTCGTTTAAGAGGAATTCAATTTCACTAGCGAATATCCACCAGAAAAGGTAATACGCCAATATGCAGATGCTGTCCGTCTGTTTACTGCCGAGTTCTGATCATATAATGAATAGTTGTTACAACAATTGATGTGAATAAGGAATCGCTTAAAGAGACAGACAGGAAAATAAAACCAGTCCACTTATGCCAAAGTCATGCAAATAGTACGCCTTTGCGACTTGATGCATCTGTTGTCAATGGAAACTTTTTTAACTGATACGTGACATGCTGTATGTAATGGAGTCAAATTTAGCGCCCTCATCTTCCAGTGGGAGGTGTGTATATATTGGTTGGCAACAGGTTGTATTTGTCTGGTACGCTGCCAGGGTTTCTTGTCGCTTGTCGATTCTTTCCTTCTAGTCGACAGGTGTTGTTTCATCAAAGTTTTCAGTAGCTTATTGAAAATGCTATTAGGGATGCATTCACCAAATCTCTCAGAACTATAAAAATTAGAGCTGACTGAAATGATATTAGTATTAAAAATTCTGATGTTGTTCATTTAGTTAAGTGCTGTGGATATTCTTACACACACTGATTTCAGAGTGTAATGAATGCCTGCCTATCTTGCTTTTGGCATCCAAACTTGATTGACTTCGTCAGTGTCATAATGTGGTGAGAGCTGACTGCTAGCCAAAATTGGTAGACAGCAATTTCCGTCAATGTTTACGTCCCATATCTTGGTCATGAGAAAAAAACAAGAACAAAGACTAACTCAATAACCAATCACAGAAGACTTAGCGTGGGCAGATACGATTAGCAGATATATCAACGTACTGTCTAAGAAACGGCATCAAGAGATGATAGAATAACCTTCAGTAGGAAAACAACCAATCAGAAGACGTTACCGCTCTGCTAACAATAACGAATAATAATGTACATAAAAATCTATAAATAGCTCTAGATTTTCTTAATAAACGATCTATTGGCTGGCCATTGTCTTCTGTCGTCACAATAAGTGCATCTCTCTCTCTCTCTCCATATATATATATATATATATATATATATATATATATATATATATGTATATATATATATGTAATTGTTCCCTTTGGTTCCCAGTGGAACATAGGGCTTCAACTGCACGTCTCCACTTGCTTCTGTCCTCTGCTGTACTTTTCACCTGCATCCATGTTAGTCCATACTGTTTCAACTCCTCTTCACACGATCTCCTCCATGTCACCCTTGGACGTCCCACTCACCAATTCCCTTTCGGGTTCCACTCGAGCTATGGCCTGACGCGCGATGTCACCCAGCGGCCTCCTCAGTGAGTGTCCAATCCATCTCCACGTCTTCGATTTTCTGTGACATCAAACATAAATCATCCGCGAAATCCAGGTCTTCTAGGTTCTTCACGTCGGTCCAGAATATTCCTGTCTTCTCGTTTCCCACTGTCTGACGCATCATCCAGTCCACCACAATTAGGAATATCATTGGTGATAATAAGCACCCTTGTCTGACTCATGTGTTTTCTCCAAACGCCTCTCTGAGTTTTCCGTTGTAGATCACTTGACATGTGCTGTTGTCGGACAGCTGTTGAATAAGGTTGATGAATATTTGGCGTACGCCGTAGTACTTGAGTAGTTTCCAAATTACTTCGCGGTCTACGCTGTCGAGGGCCTTTTCAAAGTTTATAAAGTTGGGGCCGCTATATATATGGTAGTTGAAATGATTAAGGTAATTTGACAAAAAGAGTACTACATCGTTCTGCCCTACTTGTCAAAAAGTAATTTGTTGTATTTTCTCTGCTTTTCCCTTATTTCTTCCTCTACAGCCGGATTGTATCATTCAAATTAACACAATTTTACAAGTATTTCTAAGTTATTTAAAAGATAATTTACAATCACTAATTTATAAACATACCAATATGGGACATTCAACAACAACAACAGCAGCACCAACAACAACGCCATCAACTCAACTGACTAACAATAAGGCGGTGAATAATTCTCCTACACTTCAAAGTATGCATATTCGTGGATTTATAGATATGCTGTATCGGTTAATAAAAGTAGCTTCATCTGGTCATGAACTTTTATTGATAAACAAAATTAATATAAATGAATTAGTGAAACAATTTATGCAATTATTTAATATCCTATTCCTGAATCAATTTAATAATGAATTTACTATTACTACTAGTACTACTACTGCGACCACGACCAACACTCCTGTTGCTGCTGTTGTGGATGCTACAACGACAACAACTACTACTAATAATAATAATGACAGTCAGTCAACTTGTCCTTCGTCTGTATTCATTCCCCTACCTGATGATAATGATGATAACGTTGATGATTACGAACGATATTTTCAATACCTGATCACAAGTGAAGTAGATGTCATGTTGTTGGAATTGATTGCTTACTGTTTACAACTATGCCTATCCTCTTGTCCGTGTAATCGTCAAACAGAAGGTGGAGGCAGAGAAGATCAAATCAGCTGCCATATCGATGATACGCTACGTCTACTGCAGACATTTAAAAATGATATCCTCAATTCGAAAAGTACAACACGTCATTGGTGTAAACAAAAATGGTCTTACCTATTCAACAGTTCAATATTTGCCTCAATGACTGCGTTGAAATTAAAACAGCATAAGTGTTGTTGTTTGAAAAGGATCAATGTCTTAAAGGATGAACTGTTTAGCTTATCGATTGAAATGTCTAGTCAAAAATTGAACACATTGACACGGTTGATAGATATTGATGCCTTTCATCGAAGGTAAGCTTTTTTGGCCTCATTTTTTATTTGAATTTTCAGTAGCTGTGGTGGTGGCACGGTAGTCTAGCCTGAGCCTAGCCTTCCTTTCTTCTGGGCTTACTTTTTTTTCCTTCACGTTCCCTAGTTGGAACATAGGGTTTCAAGCTAGTGGCTTGAAGTTTCAGTAGCAGTGATTATTTTACAGGATGGGGTTGCTAGCCTCATGCCCAACCTTTCCTCTTCACCAGCATTATTTCTGGCTTAGCGAGGTAAAGGAGTGCGTCGGCCGGGGATCGAACCCCGGACCATGTGCATGGTCCAGCGTTGAAAAGCACTGGAACAACCTGAGGGCGGTGTGGAGTTGCAGGTAGAAAGAAGACAGAGGACAAACACTGGCTCACTACGGACACGTGGAGACTAGTAGAAGAGAGAAGGATGTTGAAACGAAAGATTATCCAGTGCATCGACGCGCAGCAAAAACAGGGGTTGAATGCAAGCTAAAATATACTGAACAAAAGAGTGAAGAAAAGTGCCAGGGAAGACGAAAGAAAGTATTGTGAAGCTATGTCAAGTGAAGCAGAACAAACAAGCCGCAGGCAGAGGAGACCTCTCAACACTCCACAACAACAACTTGAGGAAGAAGATCTTTTCGGTGAAAAGATCAAAACAAATTAAGCCAGTAAAGGATCACAAGAGTAAGTCAGTCACTGATAAGGTGGAGCAAAAGAAACACTCGACTGAACATTTCAAAAGATTTCTAATAACAACAACGGAAGCTGATAATAACTATGCCGTATAACTTGACTGTGTAGCATACAGGCTTTATAGTCCCATCTAATCCCCCATATTTTAGCCTAGCAAATTGTCGGCAGAAATTGTAGTAGTGGTATTATCATTAGGCTTCATACACGTGGCTTAAAGTCTGGTACTTGAAAACTGTGTTCCGGATAAGTGAATTATGATATAATATGAAATTGGATATCTTCTTCCCCACCTCTGTCATCTCTATGCTCACTTGAAGGTATTCATGCCTTCGCTACCGATTTCCTCCGTTTTTTTGTGATGATGGACTGTTACTAACTGAATTGTCAGTCATGTAAATTGACTAGAATCCGACCCGAGAATGCGATCGGAATAACAACAACAGTCACAAATGTAACAACGTTTATTGGACAAAATACATCCTTTTTCGTATTTACAAAACGTCATGAATTTAAGCCATTAGTAAATGAATCAGAACCGTACGATAAGCTGCTTATCATGCAATTAGTTCCCATGATAAGTATGGAATAATGCAATAAGACCACCTTTTGCAAGATAACATGAATTCAGTTTATTCCATAGGATTTTGATCAGCTGCACACAACCTGAATAATAGGCGAGATAAGCAATGAATGTGAAGCAGTTTACACATACACACCACAACTAAACAGCCAGTCAGTTCATTCTATCAAAGAGTAGAATAACATACCGAAAATGGAGGCGAGTTACACAATGTATACGAGAAGTAAGAATAGTGAATTACAAGCAAAATAGTGACATTACATAAATTATATTGTACATGGAGAAGAATATCCTGGAATCGTAGCATGCCGAATACGCTACTGACAAGATATACCAGTAGTATACAACGAGACACTGATCGGCACAAAACTATCCAATAGCAGAGAAATAGATTTGACGTTTATTTATGAGAGAGCAAGTGTGAACCAGTGTATTGTGGGAAAACATGTGGGAGACACAAAGAGAAGAAGAAGACAAAGAAACACAATACGGACAAGAGAGCATAAATCGCACAACAACACACACAGTAGATCTGTGCAAATGACGCTTTCAGTTTAGGCTAAACAATTATTTCCCTATGTCGTCTGTCAAATTGCTAACAAACAATCCCTTGCGGATCCCTTGTCTTCTTCCGTTACAGTAGGATACACATTCATACACAAGTGGAAACAGCTACTTAATCAGTCATAGGTGATCTTGTCTGTACATTGTAGAAATCATGACTTCACGGATAACAAAAAAGCTTGTTTGTCTTAACAGTTTTCTTTTTTTGTAGTACTGGTATACATTTCAAAGCTATTTCATTGGATGATTCATCACCACCGCCACCACCAACAACAACGACAACAGAAGATAAAAATGAAACTGCCAGTAACACTGAGTCACTATTGCCTACAGATAACTTCGTATCACCACGTGTGATTCATTTCATCTTTCAGATAGCCAGTTATTCTAATCAATTATGCATTGAAGTGTTGAAGTCAATTCTCAAAAAAGCCATAAAGTCCAATCAGATATGGTGTCAGTTAAATATCACACCGAGTCACCTGTTAATTTCCCTTCTATCGGTAAGTTAATTTCCCCTTTTACCATTTTTCTCATCATTATTCAACTGCATAATTCGATATGGGATGTTTAATGGATTTTGAATGTCAGTAGAAGTGATGCTGCCAGATTAATCTTTATCATAAGTGTTTTCGTTCTACACTCCCATGTTGAATGGTATGACATAATAATTTCACGAATAATCTGTACCCTCCACCCATCCATCCCTTCCATATAAACTAAGAACATCAGATGCCCTACGTAGGATTCTTATTAATATCTGTTCTTACAACAACTGACCAGTTGACAACAACTCACGGAGAAACTTTGTCGAATCTGATAGATGCAATTAAGAAAGATAATATCATTTACCAAATACTACATATAATGAACTGTGTAGTCAGTTGACATAGGTGAAACTAGTAGATCGGAGTTAATAAATTGTCGGAATGAATCAATGTAGGAAGGAATTTAATCTAGATGTGGAATGATTGACGACGCCAAATTAAATAATCTTGAATATAGCTGACTCCATGGAAGGTTTCCACTCGCAGGTAATTATTCCGCACAGTGGTTTGGAATGGGATAAAATTATTCATTGATATAAGAATAGAATTTGGACACTGTGATATGATTATAAATGGCAATAAATTGTGCTCGGAACTTAGTCGTCAGTAAATAATACTGTGAGAGTTTATCAAATGAATTTACTCTCTGAGAGAACTATTCATATTATAATGAAGTGAAGAGAGGGAGAAAGTTTGATATCTGAATCTTTGGAAACATTTATTTCCCGATACGAATTTAAAACAAGCAATAAAGGTTAATAAAGCAGGATTTAATGAATTCATCAAATTTCGGTAGAACTCGTCAGCTGAATACTCTACATACACGGATATATACTTTTGAAGTTACATTGGGAGATATAGGACTGAATACTTTACATACACGGATATATATAGTTTTGAAATTACATTGGGAGATATAGGACTGATAAGCAAATAAACTACATTGAATTAGTCATGCAGAAAGACAGGTGCGAATGTTTTTCCAGGTCATGTGCAATTAGATAAGGGGAGAGAGAGTATGGGAGATCAAAATTAAGATAAATTGCATTACGCTTCAATTACATCACTTAGATAAACAATTAGACATTAGAGAATTTAACAAGAATTGCAACCAGAGGGATGTCAATAGTAATAGTTATAATAACAATAATATAATATAACAATAATAATAATAGTGTTGAAGTAGGTTAAGATAATGCTACTGATGATGTACAGGAAGTAGTCAAACGAAGACTCGACAAAGCCATCAAGAGAACTTATTATGCTGCAAAACTTGTTTTCCTTAACACCACTAAGCGAGTGCTTCAACAATCTGGGAAAGACCAGTCGCCAATCCTCGACACTTCAAACTGCGTATATCAATTTGAGTGTGTTTGTGGAAGCAAATACATAGGTCGTACGGAAAGGAGATTGTCTACTCGCATGATGGAGCATTTGCCAAAATGGTTGAAAACAGCTGAGTTCAAAGTGCCAAAATCCTCAATAACAAAGCATCTTGTGGATTACGGGCATGATATCGACGCGGTCAAGTCATTCACCATTGTCAGCAGACAAAGAAACAAGAAGATGCTTGCAATTGCAGAGGCTTGTGCAATTCGAGTTTATAAACCAGGTCTCTGTGTACGAAAGGAGATGGTCGTGACTCTGAATCTACCATGGTAATACGTTTTACTTACAATTCTACCTCTTATTATTATTATTTTATTATTAATACTATTATTCTCATTATTATTATTATTATTCTTGATTCATTTAAAACTATCCTTTATCAGTAGCATTATCTTAACCTACTTCAACACTATTATTATTATTGTTATATTATATTATTGTTATTATAACTATTACTATTGACATCCCTCTGGTTGCAATTCTTGTTAAATTCTCTAATGTCTAATTGTTTATCTAAGTGATGTAATTGAAGCGTAATGCAATTTATCTTAATTTTGATCTCCCATACTCTCTCTCCCCTTATCTAATTGCACATGACCTGGAAAAACATTCGCACCTGTCTTTCTGCATGACTAATTCAATGTAGTTTATTTGCTTATCAGTCCTATATCTCCCAATGTAATTTCAAAACTATATATATCCGTGTATGTAAAGTATTCAGTCCTATATCTCCCAATGTAACTTCAAAAGTATATATCCGTGTATGTAGAGTATTCAGCTGACGAGTTCTACCGAAATTTGATGAATTCATTAAATCCTGCTTTATTAACCTTTATTGCTTGTTTTAAAATCTGAATCTTTGTTCATCGAATCATCAAGGAACACACGGAATCAGTACTCGATACCACACGTATTCTGTATATATGAAAAGTGACGATATTATGACAAGACATATAAGCGAACAATATTGTTTTAAATTAGATCTTCAGGCTTTACTCTAATTTACATAGATTTATATATAACAATTTTAACCAATGACGGTGATTTTGGGGATCAAATAATAATAATGTGGTGAATGTTTTGAACGTCGGTAATAACGATGATTCTAATGACAACAAAATATTGATAATAAGGTTTGTGCAGGTGGCGATAAGAATAACAAAGTCAGACAATTCAGTAAATATATACTTAGGTTAGATCTTAAAAGTTACGTAATACTAAATGCAGGTGAAGTGGATAGATAATCAGAGTTTAAATAAATATTATAAAAGTATGAAGGAAATGGGAAATACGAAAGGGCGGCCAAGGGAGAGACGAAGGTAAAACAAACTTCTTTTGTATGCAAAGACCTGGATTGGTCTCTCGGATTCCTACAGCTTCGGCTATGTGTAAAAAGCGGGTTCGAAAGGCTAGATGGAATGTGATAGATAACTTTGAAGGCACCATTTCTGTCCACTTGGTGACCACTATCAATCAAATGAGTGAAAATAGAACTTCTCATAGATTTTGTTTGACCCTTTCTGAGCCATGAAGGAAGATGTTCATTAATGCGTTTGTTAAGCTGTCTAGTTGTCCACCCTATTACAATAAACAAAACAGGAAGAGGACTGTAAGACTATATAAAACAAGTTATTAAGTTGTGTGACGAAATACATTGATGTGATTATGAGCAGTAATAAATTGTGCTTGGATATAGTCATCCTTGTATTAACACTCTTTCACTACTGTGTGTGTGTATGTTGTATCAGATGAAATGATCTAATGTAGAATTAATTCTGTTCTGCAACACATTGCTCCCAGTTTAACTCTTAAATTGAATGTATTGATGGTTCAGGTGGTGTTTGAATATTTCTACTAATGAACTGCCAACTCGAATGTATAAGTTATTATTTATAGTTCGTGGTTGTGCATACCATACTCTAATTCAGCATTTCCATTGACATTCGGTCAGTCAGTCAGTTCTATACGAGTCAGAAACCAGGCCAGTGTTTCACGGAAGGACTTCCAACAGCCAACTGCAGACTTTCATCAACAGCTGTCCGCTTTGCTGGACCCATACTGGCCGAAAAGAATTAGCAACACGAAACTCTGACTGATAACAAACCGACAAAGAGTCTATTGTTCAACAATTATATAGGAGAAAATGGAGATGGATCGGTCACACCTTGAGGAGACGGTCAAATGACATCACACGACAGGTTCGAGTGGAAATCCGAAGGTAAAGCGACGAGTGGTTCGTTGGTGTGCGTGTGACATGGAAGAGACCGTGTGATTTTGAAGAGGAGATGAGAGATTGTGGGCAATCGTGGAGCCAGCTGGAGAGAACGGCAACAAGTAGAAGAAAGTGGAGATGTGTTGTTGTGTCCCTCTCGGAACCCAATGGAATAATAATCCATACTGTCTCGATTGTTTTCTACGTCTATCTGGACAGCATCTTCTCCGGTGTTGTGGTTTGTCACATTGAAAATACTGGCCTTTCCTGGCGCTCATTCGTAGTGCCTCTGCGTCACACTGCAAATCTTCAATTTTCTGTTCCCATTGTTTCGATTTCAGTGGCTGTATTGAGGCTACTGTTGTGAACAGTACCTGTTTTGTTGCCGACGTCCATAGGTTATGCAGTGTTGACCAGTTGTGATTGCTGAGCAGTGTGTTGTGGGACACTTTAAATAAACTGAGACACCAACAACTGCGTCTCATACTCTTCACCAAGTGTGGGAAGTGTGTGACGAAGTAGGCCCTTCAGCTTGACAGTCAATATGAGTGGGTCTCCGTCCGGTGCCAGCATCATAGCACGGAACTGCTGAATTACTTACTACCTGTCGGTCCAACTGTTGCACTCTGCCACCAATCGTCCTGACCAATACATTCATGACCTCTTTATCACCTGACCGCTCCGCACTGCCTTACGTTAGCTTTATCCAACCTCTCAGCAGCATCCCCAGAACAACCGTTTCTGCTGTTGGTAATGCTTTTCGTGACGCGCGCACTACAATTCTCTGACGCATGAAGAAAAACTAACTTGGTATTGGTACTGAAAATCGGAATCCTATTCTTTCAGCTTAGTGCAGCACATTTCCAGACTGTGTCGAGAAAAATGAATGTTTGTTTTTACTTTACCGAGCCTGTCTGACTTTTATACACCTTCAGCCGTGCCGTCTGTAAACGATGGTTCCCAGATAAAAGACTTGCCTCTAATTTCTCCGGTTGATAGTGATTGATAACAGAATATGTCAAAGTGTATAATAAATAATAATTACAGTAATAATGTGTGAGAAATAACGAATAATCTAAGGTAATTGAGTGAGGATCGACAAGTGATTAGTTACCTGATGAATAGTCATTTGGAAACACAATTGATAGGAGACAGAAGAGTGAAGGATTGCAAGTAGGTTACAGAAAATAAACACATCATATAGAGCCTCCTATGATTTCTATCAAACGCATGATAGTGAGTGTGTAAGCAAGTGTAGAAGGTCGTAATATATGTATGTGTGTGTGTGTGTTGTGAGTAACTTTCAAGTGGGTATACCATCAGTTTAACTAGAACTGAGATATTTGACTGTCATATGAGTTAGTTAATAATTATGCATTCAATCTGTTATGATTATTAATATTATTATTAATACTGATACCAACACTATAAATTGTGTAATATAAATGTATCTTCTTTATAGTTTCTGAGAATCATATCGGCAACGGGACAGATAAGATGCTGGCGGCGTTTATACTTCTTACTTGGCCGATTGATGAAGGCTGGTGTACTAAATTATCCCATACCAACATTTTTAATTGATCATGAAAACGGAAGGGTCGTCAATAGTCTGTCAAGATATTTCTACTTATTAGATTGGAGTAGTAAGTTTCTTTTCTTCGTGTTTTATTACAGGTGTCATTATTATTTTCACTGCTATGCTTGACTTTGGAGTCTGTCTGGCAGTCAGGCTAGTCAGTCAGTTCGAGGTTTCCTTTGAAAAGGAGAGAAATATCAATTAGGATCATAATGTATCATCTGCTCAATACGATGAATAACAGTGGAGCATGATAGTAGTTAAGCCTATTGCTTTGCTGGGCAGGTTGAATTCCACCAGCTTGAACTGATATCTAGCTGTCTGTGACTTGAGTCGAACTCATTATTATACACGGCTAAGGAGCTGTGGTGATTCCTCCCTTTTTAACTGTGTGTGTGTATGTAGTTTGTAAATGACGAATTCATCGAAATCAGTAGCTAGCCAGCCAGCCAGCCAACAGCCAGTATTCGGATGGTTCGATCCCTCTAACCTGAATGAAACCGGATAGACACAACTGATGGGTATGGGGTTGCCGCTAACTGAGTGTAACAGCCGTCAAGTGTTTGGATTGGTTCGCAACTACTTTCCAACTATGTTCCGGTCAACCAGTAGTATATATACACATGACTATAGTAATATAGCCTCATGCTTTAACCTCCTCTTCTCCTTTATTATGCCTATTTTTTAATGAAATTACTGGCAATAGTAAGCGTTGTGATGCTTTTCCCTCTTATGATGTTAATGCTCTTAATCAGTCTTTTATACGCTGTCCTTCTACTTTAACTAATTCTAATGTTACCTATCATGTAGCTGAAAACTTTCATGACTTTAATACTCTCGATGTTCTAAAATGTCTTAAAACGCTCAAGCCCTCACGTAGCCTTGGCCCTGTTGGTATACCTGCATATGTTCTAAAACAATGTGCAGATACTTTGTGTTCTCCACTAACCAACATCGTAAATGCTTCTTTCTCCAAAAATATCGTACCTGATGCATGGAAAGACATTAAAATTGTCCCTGTCCCTAAACCTGGAAGCGCCAAGAACGTAAAGTTCAGACCCATTGCCGTCACTTCCCCGTTTCTAAAGCTCATGGAAAACTAGTACGTCTTAAGCTTGAACCCTCCCTTAAAAACTTTGAAGACCCCAAACAATTTGCCTATAGACAGGGTAGGAGCACTTTAGACGCTGCAGCCGTCTTACACAACAGTGTCGTCTCATCATTAGATAAAGGTGCCAAATACGTCCGCTGCACGTATCTCGACTTTACTTCTGCTTTTGACTCTGTACCTAGATGTCTCCTGCTCAATAAGCTCCCTTTGACAAAAACTGAGTCCTGGGTCACTAACTGGCTGCATTCCTACTTCTCTAACAGAAAGCAGTACACCGTATACAAAGGTAAATCATCCTCTGCTGTAATCACTGAAGCCGGTGTCCCCCGCTCCCGCTTTTCTAACACCTTCAAACACTGTTCAGCTTTACCTTTGCTACCGATATGGCAATGTGTTGTTGTAATAATGAACTGAGATTTCCTTAATCTATGTAGAATTCTATTTATTGATAATGTACTAACTGGATGCAATACTGTAGTAAAAATGCTGAGAATTCCATTCTGTATCACATGTACTGTTTTGGAATAAAGCAAGTTATTATCATTATTAATGTACTTTTATCAATGCGAAATTTTCAATGTTATACACTCACCAATGCTTTTGTTTATTCTCTTTTTTATTTTCAATGAATGTCTGTGTAGAACTTCGTGGTACATTCGATCTATTCGCATTGACATTTCATGTATTCGACTTATGGTGTAAATCGTCATCTTCATGTGCCAGTAATGATGATAATGATGGCGGTTCACACACAGAATTGTGTATTCTACTGCATTCATTAAATGATTTAGTTTCTAATTTTACATCAGTTATTCCAAAACTGCCACCTTCAGAGACGAAATCGTTGAAGATGATGAGTGAAACAACCGTGAATAGAAATAATAATGACAACATCAACGAAGATAACAAGACCACCGAGTCCTCATTAAAACTAAATCAATCTACTGTGACACCTTCGGAGACGATGACGAATCAACCGAAAAGAAGATCAGAAGTGACAGAGGAGTCGATCGTGGAACTCAGTAATAGTAATAATGATAGTAAGACGATGCATTTGCAGATGAATGATGACAACAAGGACAAAGTTCACACTTCTGAGTCTTTGGTAACAACAACCCAACCCTCTTCAATGCAGGAGGAGAAGAAGAAGAAAAAGAGGAAGTCGAAGATGAAGGAGGTCTCAACAGTGAATAGTCAAGATAATAAAAACAATAATAATAGGGATGATGATAATTACATGGACAACAGCACTATGGAATCTTCATTAAGACACTATCAATTTGTCGAATATACTAGACAATTAGTTATATGCTTATTAGATCAATTGACGAGACGTTTACGAACAGCGAAAACTGAAATTCCAGCCACATTTCACATTGAAACGACTACATTGAATCCGTTGTTCAATGTTTCATTGCAATTCGACCAACTTAAACAAACAATTTTATCAATTAGACAAGCTTTAGATCAAACATGAATCAAACACGTCTCTCGACAATATAAAATATGTACATATTGTTTATTTTTCTATTTAAAAGATTTCATAAATTAAAAAAGAAAACCTCTTTTTTATTTTCCCAATGTTGGTAATATCATGCGAGCGTTAGTTTTCAGGGATTTCATTGATTGATTGGTTACAGGATTTCATCATGAACTGACATTGATCGGTTAGAGAACCATTTTGAAACCATCGGGGAGTACTAGATAGCTGTTTCCGTTGTCCTAGTTTGGGACTCTTCATGAGTACGCACCCATTGGGGCTCGAACCCAGGACTGTCTAGTTACAAGACTAGGTATCTCGTAGACGACAACTAAGCCAGTCACTGACACCCGATCCAGTGGTCGATGAATTCTGACTTCTGCGAATTCACGCACGATATACTGCGACCACTAGTGAATGTCCTTCGTGTCAAGTATTTGTCCTCACACCTCATCGACCTGCTGTACGCCACTGGTCACGATTTCTAGTTAGAAATCGGGCCTACATACTGAACAGAAGCCACATATTAGTTATGAAACTTCCGAAAATACTTTCTACATTCACTTGAAGTAATAGATCAAAAGTAAAAGGAACATAATTGCAAAAAATTTCGTGTGTAGATGAATGATTTGGCGTTATCGGGATCAACTACTACTTATACAAGGGGGTAAGTTTCCAGTTTTTACTTGGAAACAAGAATGCACTAGAGATGATTTGGAAGATTTCGAAACATAATAGCGAGTTCAACTCGCCCATTCAGTGAAAATCAAAATTAAGTAGAATGTCATGCAACAGGACAAAACACAAAAGCTGACGAACAAAAGAATTACGCTCACCAGAGTAGTGAGAGACTGGTTACACTATTTTTCTGTGTGCATAGGTTTGGTCGAAGTCTTTTGATGATAGCAATAGATTCTGCTAACCGAAGTAACCATGGCTTTCCCGTCGCATATTTTGATATGAACTTCTTAGGGTATCCATTTTTGATAAGGCTCTTTCCGATGACTGCGAGTTGCTCTTCGATCTTATCTTCTTAACCCAATGTCCTAGGTCTGCTGAGGAGCGTTTTCACCAGGCTCCGTTTGTAGTCGATTGGCTAAAAGCTGTGATAATCCATTTTTTACTGTAGATGGATTTTTCAATTGTCCCATCATTTCTTCTTTTTATGTTGAGATCTAAAAAGTGGAACTGATTGTCACGTTCATGGTCCTTTTTAAATGCTATATGTGATGTGCGCAGTTGAAAAGGATCCACGGAATAAAACGAGCTCATAGTGTCCTGCAAATATCTTCGTTCTTTCTTTATTCAATCTGATAAAGGGAACTGGATGTATGCAAAAGATTCCTGTTGAAATTACAAAGTGATAAATAGCATTCAGAGTATTTTGATTGAACACTAGTAAAAACTAGTGCAATGTGTCTAGTCCTTTGTTTGGTGCAGACTGAATTCTATCAGTCAGGTGACGCGTTCGGTTCGAATCTCAGAAGGGATATGAGTTCCTTCACGGTTGCAGATACACCTTACTGACGAGTGCCAACTAGCACGAAACCTAGGTCCAAGGTTTCCTGTGGCCGATTGCCTCCAACTATCTGATAGCATTCAGAGTGTTATCTGTATGCAGTATGATGTTGTAGATGTGAGAGGGTTGGGCTGCTTAGAATAGTTCAAAATGTCTGACATATCACTCACTTAATGCGAACAAGGGGAATTCAATTATTCCATGAGATTCCTACCTTATATCCACTCACCGTGTGTGTAATTATTAGATTTTAAGTTATGAACCGAAGATATTTACTATCTATGTCTAAACTAGAGACAATATTATCATGTAAGACAACAGTGGTATCTAATGTACACCCACCATGCGTATAAGCAAGTTGTTTAGGGTTGTTCAATGAGTAGTTTGTCCATTACTTTTAAAAAAATATGCCTCGGTAATAACAGTATGTCTCAACAAAACGCATCATCCACTTGATGTTTTCGACAGAGATACAATTTCGATATCCCTTGCAGGATGTACCTCATTAAATTTATCCAGGATGTTCTTTGCTTCCTTTTCGTTCTTCATAATCAAAAAAGTATCATCCATGTACTGACAATCAAGTTCGAGTTCATTAATAATAACATCCTTGAAAAGGCCCATTTTCTAGTTTCGCAAGGAAAATGTCGGCTAGAGGGGGTCCTAGTGGTGACCCCATTGCCACACCGTCGATTTGTCTATACAGTTCCTTATTAAATAAAAAGTGGAAATTCATTGTACATTTCAAGAGAAGCTCTTTTAACTGCTCCTGTGGAGCCAGTTACATAGGCCGTACAATTAGGCGTGTTTCTCGTTGAATTTCCGAATATTGCCCTGCGTGGTTAAGCAAATGACAAACAAAATCTATTTGCAGCGCTATTCTGTCTCATCTTGTGGAGACAGAACACAAGATTGACGTTAACCATGCTTTCAGCGTCATTTACCGCATACCTAGGAACTTCAATTTTGCCTTAATATTTCGACTACTAAACATTGTTGAGGCTGTGGGGATCCATATTAATAAGCCTAATTTATGCATCCAAAAGAAGTTAGCTCAGTCATTATCATTACCTTGGCCATCCAGGTTTGAATAATCTGGAATTTTTGTGAAATTCCCCCAATTTTGGTTGATATTCTATTCGCTATTATATCTTTATTATTATTTAAGCATCTTTAATGAACTGTAATTCCATTGTGATCTTACTTTACAAATCGATATTACTTCAAAAACACTAATATTGTTATTAACTACTAATTTAAAACATTCTATGTATGTAAACATATACATAATAGTAGAGCCGGAAGAGGGAATTATCGAAAAGAATATTCTTTGCTGGATTATTTTGTGTTTTATAGATGTCTGAATGAATATTTTTGCTATATTCTTTGGGAATACCTGCTCATTTTCTAAGAATAATACCCCGTACTTCATTAGGAGACATTTGAGAACATCATTTGTATTTAAACCAGGAAAGTGATGATTCATTTCATTTGTAGCACCAGAAATCATGACATCTGCTGGACGATATATATGGAGGATTTATTTAGGCGTACCATCATCAAGTGAAGGCGGTTCATTGTTTATTTGCTCTCCACTAGCAAAGATTTCCAGTTGAGAAGAGGAAAATCGACGACATCTTAAGAAGATCGTGCCTTCTGGACAACAAACATCAAGATAGAATTTGAGACAACACGTTTTATTTGTGGTTGTATCATCCAGAACTTGTTCAGTGAATAAGTCCCAGTTTGTATCTTTTAAGATGCTTCTGTGATTCTGTATATTGACACCTGTGTTGAGTTTCCTTGCCATGGTGCAAGAAGGCACTTTTGTGCGACTTTCCGTATATTTCAGGCACTATTCGTAGAATACAATGTTCAGAATTAGTTGGTAGGGTTCTTTTTTGAGCTTCGAGTGCATAATCTGCATTTTACGAATCCAGCTTATTTCGGGCAGAGTTTTGCATGTAAGACATTTTTTGTTCTCTCCAGAATGACGCGACTTAATATTTTGATTAGCGTGGACATGAGCATAATACAGAGCCAGTTCTTGCAGATGCCCATGGTTATTCTTCTTCGGTAGTTTGACAAGGTAGTAGTCATTCTTCCTATCAGTAGGCGCCTTTCCTTCCTTCCCAACCCTTTGAAGTAGTGACGTGGGGTGTCTGCATCCGTTCTGAATGTGCCCAGAGGAATTCCGTCTGGTTCTTCTGTTTTCCTGGTTTTCACTACTCTTGTGACATTTTTTTTGATTACAGCTCGATTCCACACCGTATTTTTGGTACATGTATGAAATTTTCAGCATGTGATATCAGGCCGACCATAGATATCAGGTGTGCGTCGGCAGCGGATCGAACCCCGGACCATGTGCATAGTAGGCGAGAGTCCTAACCACTGTGCCACCGACGCACACATTCAAAAGTCTGACTTTTTTCAGAGGATTGGTGTTCACTGGCAGTTCCGTGTATGTTGTTGGAGGTATTTCTGGACGAGTTGCACGTGATGTTCGGTTGACGAGTCCCTTGAAGTGGCTAGTCCAATGTCTCCTTTCTTCCCTCCATTTGGTGATTTCGTTACTTTCATTACCTTTCATTGGTATCATCTGTGTTGATCTCTTCCCGGATAGAGACCTAGCTATCTGAAATGATGTTGTCAGGTTTCTTTCGCTTTCGGCTTGTTCTACTCCACTTAACAGCGTTTCGTAGAATTAACTTTTGTCTTTCCTAGCACTGGTCTTCACTTCTTTAATTCAGTGAGATGTACTTTGAACTCAGCTTCTCCTTCTCTTGTTCATCTTTGCACCTTCTGTTTCACCTTACGCCTCTCTTCCGTTAGCTTCCAGCTGTCCGTAGAGAGCCATTCGCTGTCTTACCTCTTCTTCCTTCCTCAGACGGTGGTTTCATTTAACATTACCTTCAGAGAGTTCCACTGTTCTTCCACGCCTGATAGTAGATCTTAACAGTAATTATGCATATCTGAAGTTAGATGTCGAATTGACATCATATAGAGGATGAGTGAAAAAGACGGCATGCTTCCACCTAGATAAGAACTCTGCAGTAGTATATACCAGTGACCCCGCCCAACTGTGACCAAACACACGTGTTTCAGACTACGAGGCAGTCCCGTCGACCATAGGGCGATATATGGCGCTACCGCCAGCTAATATCACCAGTAGGTAACTGTCTACACAGCTGACATGATATACACCACTCGTCACGATTTCTCACTACAACTCTAAGCAATCCATTCTGCATTAGAATAGTTCCTGTGTGCTGGTTTGTGGGCACTCGATCCTATCCTCAGTGGGTTACTGGGAGCTGCTGAGGAGTCGCAAACTAGGACAAAGCAATTGTCCAGTACTACCTAGTATTCAATGACTACCCGTTGTGATCGAGTTCTACTCATTTGTTGTTGTCATCCAACTTGAGATGGACACGACATGCTTTTACCATTTTGATTATTATCATTATTCAAAATACAGGGCATACACGGTACAATGATCTCCGGAAATCCAAGTCATAAATGAATAATCAATGTTTCAGTTGTTGTACATAACTAAGACC